ATCTTTTAAGTGGAGCATTTAGGCCATTTATATCCAATGCTAGTATTGAAATGTGAAGCATCATTGCATTCATCATGCTCTTTGGTGCCTGTGTACTTTTTTTCTTGTTTTTCCTTTTTAATTTTTATTTTTTTAGGTCCTGTGTGATTTATGCTTTAAAGAGATTTTGTTCTGATATGGATTTAGAGCTCTTTTTAGCAGTTCTTGTAGTGGTGGCTTGGTAATGGCAAATTCTCTCACTGTTTGTCTGAAAATGACTGTATCTTTCCTTCATTTATGATGCTTAGTTTCGCTGGATACAAAATTCTTGGCTGAAAATTGTTTTGTTTGAGGAAGCTGAAGGTAGGGCCCCAATCCCTTCCAGCTTATAGGGTTTCTGTGGAGAAATCTGCTGTTAATCTGATAGGTTCTCCTTTATAGGTTACCTGGTGCTTCTGCCTCACAGCTCTTAAGATTCTTTCCTTTGTCATAACTTTGGATAACCTGATGATGATATGTCTAGGCAAAAATCTTTTTGTGATGAATTCCCCAGGTGTTCTTTGTGCTTCTTGTATTTGCATGTCTAGGTTTCTAGCAAGGCCAGGGAAATTTTCCTCAATTATTCTCCCAAATATGTTTTCCAAGTTTTTTTTTTTTCTGACCTCTGAACTTTTTATTGGCCTCTGGCTCCCCAAAGGGTCCCCTGCTTCTGCTGGCTTAATGTCTCAGAACTTCAGTGTCGTTGGTCTCAGACACCACTTTGCCATCCACTATCCGGCGGGTGGTGGTCTTTTGGATAGTTTGCATGGAGTTGCAGCTGTACAGGGCATCACCAATTCTGAAGTCCTTGCCATCTTCCAGCAGGTGATGGTAGGTGGCAATCTCAGCCTCCAGCTTGACCTTGATGTTCAGGAGGGCCTTGTACTCCTGGGCCTGGCGCTGTCCCTCTGCCCAGGTCTGTGCCAGCTCTGACTCCAGGTGCAGCAGGATCCCATTGAGCTGCTGCACCTGCAGGGTGTAGCAGGCCTCCACCTCCCCCAGGCTGTTCTCCAAGTTGATCTCATGGAGTCCAGATCAATTTCCAAGGAGTGGACCATACTTCTCAGCTCTGTGAGCATCATCTCAGCTGCTCCAACCTCAGCGGACTGTGTGGTGACCACTGTGGTGCTCTCCACAATCTGCTGGGGCCAGTACTTGTCCAGCTCTATCTACCTCCACGGTCAACCCAGAGCTAGCAATCTGGGCTTGTAGGCCAGTATTTACAAAGACCTTAGCCCTCAGGTCCTTGATGGTCCTGAATAATGGCCCCAGTCTCTGACCTGGGGTCCCTTCTTCTCCAGATGCTCCAGGATTTTGCTCTCCAGCTTCTAGTTCTCAGTCTCCAGGCTCCTCAATCTGTCCAGGTAGGAGGCCAGGCAGTCATTCAGGCTTTGTATGGTCTCCTTTTTGTTCTGGATGCCTCCCATTCCTGCCAGAGTCCCAGCCATCCTTGCAGCCAGGCTTCTGGCCCCCACGCCACCCCAGAAGCTGGTACAGCGAGACACGGAGATGCAGGAACCAGAGCCCCTGGCGCCTGCACAGACGCTGTCTGCGCTGCTGACTGGCCTGGCACTGTAGCTGGGCACTTGGATGGGAGCCCATGGACCGGTAGCTGGTGGAGAAGGTGAAGCGAGTAGTGAAGCTCATGCTGTCCAGGGAGGAGAGTGAGAGGACAGGACTCAGGCTTTACTGACAACCTTTTCAAGCTTTTAGAATTGTCTTCTTCCTCAGGAACACTGATTGTTCTTCGGTTTGGTTGTTTAACATAATCCCAAACTTACTGGAGGCTTTGTACGTATTTTCTTATTCTTTTTTCTTTGTCTTTGTTGGGTTGGGTTAATTTGAAGACCTTGTCTTTGAGCTCTGAATTTCTTTCTTCTACTTTTTCATTTCTATTTCTAAGACTTTCCAGAGCATTTCACATTTCTAAAAGCATGTCCAAAGTGTACAGAATTTTTGATTGTTTTTTGCTTTAAGCTATTTCCTTGAATATTTCTCCCTTCACTTCTTGTATCGTTTTTTGAATTTCCTTGTACTGGGCTTTGCCTTTCTCTGGTTCCTTCCTTATTAGCTTAATAACTAACCTCCTGAATTCAGTTAAATCAGGGATTTCTTCTTGGTTTGGATCCACTGCTGGTGAACTAGTGTACTTTCTGGAAGGTGCTGACGAGCTTTGTTCTGATGAGGGTTGGTTTTCTGGTTCCTTTTCACTTGGGTAGGCTCTGTCGGAGGGAAGGTCAAGGGTTGAAGGCTGTTGTTCAGATTGTTTTGTCCCACGAGGTGTTCCCTTGATGTAGTACTCTCCCCCTTTTCCTGTGGATGTGGCTTCCTGTGAGCTGAACTGGGGTGATTGTTCTCTCCCTCCTGGGTCTAGCCACCCAGCAGAGTCTACCCAGCTCTGAGTTGGTACTGGGGGTTTCTGCATAGAGTCTCTCCATCGTGGATACCAGCACCTATTCAGGTGGAGGTGGAAGAGGGTACAATGGACTCCATGAAAGTTCTTAGCTTTGGAGGTTTTTATGCTCTATTTTTGTGCTGTCTGGCTCCTGCCAGGAGATGGTGCTTTCCAGAAAGCATCAGCTATGTGGAGAAGAACCAGCAGTGGGTGGGGCTCCAGATCTCCCAAGATTATATGTCCTTTGTCTTCTGCTATTAGGGTGGGTAGGGAAGGACCATCAGGTAGGGGTGAGGCTAAGTGTGTCAGAGCTCAGACTCTCCCTGGTGGGTCTTGCTGTAGTTGCTTTGGGGAATGGGAGTGAGAATCCCAGGTCACAGGAGTTGTGTACCTAGGAGGATTATGGCTGCCTGCTGAGTCATGCAGGTTGTCAGGGAAGTGGGGGAAAGTTGGCAGTTATTGGCCTCACCCAGCTTTCACAAAAACTGAAGGGCTAATCTCACTCTCACTGTGTTCCATGCAATGGCCCATGCAACAGTCTGTTTCCAGGCCAAGAACGAGTAGGGCTTGAAAACTTGTTTGAGGCTTTCTACCTCCCAGAGTATTTGGGGTGTCTCCCGGGTCCTGCAGGTGCAGTCTGTTTCCTTCACATGGTCTATGGGTCCTTTCAGGATTGCTGGTTTGTTCTTGAAGTCAGCCTGGAGCTACAATTCACAATCTGGGTCAACTTTTTAAGTCCTTTAACATAGATTACCACAGTGTCCAGAAAGGCTGTTCCATTTTCTAACTCATGAGATTTCCCACTTAAGGGTCTTGCCAGCACTATAAAAACAACACACAGACCTATATAAAGATAACCAAAAAGATTAAATTTATATTTCTTTTTTTTTTTAAATTTATTTAAAGACAGGGTTTCACCATGTTGGTCAGGCTGGTCTTGAACTCCTGGCCTCAGGTGATCCGCCCACCTTGGCCTCCAAAGTGTTTGGATTACAGGCGTGAGCCACCATGCCCAGCCTTAAATTTATATTTCTGTAATTATCGGTGAGAATTCCCATTTTCATTTATTATTAGTAATTTGCATTTCTTTTCTTGGAAATGGTCCATTCCTTTTTTTCCACTTATTTATGCAGAAGGGGAAGGCATGTCCTCTTGATAAAATATCTTTTAAAATTAAGGACATAGGCCCTTGCTCATATTTAACACAAATATTTTTCAGTTTCTATTTTGCCTTTAATATTATATTTTTAAAATAAATTCAGGTTTTATTTTTCCTATGATTTCTTTCCTTGCTTTCATCAGATTAACAGACGTAAACATCAGATATAATTTCATCTGTATTTACTTTTTAAGTTTTTTTTTTTTGACAGAGTCTTGCTCTGTTGCCTAGGCTAGAGCGCAGTGGCGTGATCTCAGCTCACTGCAGCCTCAGCCTCCTGGGCTCAAGCAATCCTCCCTACCTGAACCCCGAAGTAGCTGGGACTACAGGTGTGCACCAACACACCTGGCGAATTTTTACAGTTTTTTAGTAGAGAAGGGGTTTCACTATGTTGGCCATGCTGGTCTCGAACTTCTGACCTCAGGTGATCCACCCACTTCAGCCTCCCAAAGTGCTAGATTTACAGGCATGAGCCACTGCACCGGGTTAATCTGTATTTACTTCTAATACTTTCATATATATAGTGTGTCTGTATAGCTATATATAGTTTGCACATATATGTACGTACACACACACACACACACACACACACACACAGTAGGGCTTGAAAACTTGTCCGAGGCTTTCTACCTCCATATATATGTGTGTGTGCGTGTGTGTGTGTGTGTGTGTACATATATATGTACACATATATATGGTATGAGGTATTGATTCAACTACTTTCTCTAAATATTCAAATGATTATCACAGTATCATTTATTGTGCAATCCATATTGTCTCTACTGATTTGAAATATGACCTTTTACCATGTATAAATTCTTAAATTTATGTAAATGTGTTTCGGGGCTTTACATTTTATACCATTTGTGAACTAATTTTGTGTGCAGTTTAATTATTATTGCCTCAGAACACACTTTAAAATGTGATATATATTTCCATTACTTCTTTTTAAAAAGCACTTTTAAAATATTAACTATTCTGTATTTGTTTTTCCCTCCAGTAGCACTATAGAATTATTTTCAGTTAAAAAATATGCTGGCATTTGGTTACATAAACATATCATATTATTTGATGAAAACTGAAAAACTGTATACTTCATTCCCTCCCAGAAATATGGTGATTCATTTCACATATGTCAGTGAAGTTCTATAGTTTTCTTCATATAGATTCTGAACTGCTCTTATTAAAAATATTCCAAGTCATATATATTTTTGGTTGCTATTGTGAATGAGATCTTTTCTCACTTTTTTTGTTTCCCAACAATTCCAGTACTTTTCAGTATACATCTTTCTGAAATACATATTTCCTTGTGTTTTTTGCATGCAGGGTAGTGCCACAACCTATAGGAGAAATAGAGCTCAATATAAATCTTGTACTTAGAGAGCTTACATGCCATGCTAATGTTGAAAGAAAGGCTTGTACATGTACCTCCAATTTTTTCTGATATTTTTCACATTCCAATTGACACTGTGTGAGATTTCTTGCCGTTTCCTCTTGTAGAAGTTGAACACGCTCACTTTCAAAAGATTTTAACTTAATTTGATGGAGAAATTCTGTTACTTTGCTTTCGGTACTAAGCTGTAGTTCTCTGTACCTGCAAGAAGCAGAATGGTTATGCCACTCTAAAGAAAGCACTCTTAGTGACTTATATAAACATAAACTTCTACATTTTCTACTCCCCCATATTTGTGCAGTTAGTAATTTATATTTATTCAGCAAAGCTTTTATAAATAATTTAGATAGGTATATGTATGAAAATATGTAACTCCAGTGAAAATATCAATTCACTTTCACCATTCTACCCTTATTTTCATTCCTTCCACTCCAAAATATTTCCTGTTATTTTGTACATTTAAAATAAAAAATGGCAAGAGCGAATTTCAGTTATACTGTTTAGAATGATTTAATTTCTATACTTTTCATAGGCCTTCTTAAATCTATGGCATTGTTCCTAAGCTTACTATTTCATCCTAAGTCTAAATAATATCAGATGGAGAAGAAAGTCATGAAATATGAACATTAAACTACATATTCATGAAACACATGTAAAATAAACTTAGTAAATATACATATATCTTGATACTACAAGAAAAAAAAGTAATGTGTAAACTGTGAAGATAAATACAGACCTACAAGTAGGCTATTACAACTGAGATAAGAAACATTCTCTTCATTCCACAGGTATAACTAATAATAAAAAACATTTCCACTTAACATATAAATCACCACCTATTATAAATTAGAAAGTACTTAAGGTTGACTGTATTCTAACAGAAAGCAAAATACAGGCACACTATGTCTTTTCAGGGAGCTATTATGAACCCAGTATAATGCTAGAGATTATTAAAATTCATTTATTCAAATATTTATTGAGCTAGTCAGTATGCTAGGTAATGCATATACATTGGTAGATAAAATATTGCTTTCTAGAAGAAGTTTTCTGGGGAAAACTGGTAAATAAACATGAAAATTCAATGGAGTATGGTTCAATAGGGTAATCCCTAGGTTCAAGTTCAATGGGAACATATATGAAGGAGACCTAACTCGGTTTGTGTAGCGTGTGTGTGTGTGTGTAAGGCAGGAGGAGTTAAGGGGTGGGAAGTGTTCTAGGGAGAAGAAACGTGAGATATGTGCAGGGCAGGGAAGCAGAGAGCATAGTCTGTTTTATCTATGGTATCTCTCATTTAATCCTTACGACGGACCTGCTAGGTATTTTGCAGATGAAGAACCTGAGGCTCAGAGAGGTCAAATAATTTTTTTAACAGGAACACACTGCTAGTACATTTCAGGTTGTGTCTCAAGTCCAGTTTTATATTACACTTCACAGCAATAGTCTTTCTGCTATTACATAATATTCTTAGCTGGCATTTCTGAGGCAAGATAAACTTTGAAATGCTTTTTAAAGGCTATTTCACTCCTGTAAGTGAAAATAACATTCAAAATATAATCAGAGAAGATGGGCATTAAATATACACCATGGGCTACTTCACGTCTGGCACTCTCATATTCAGATTGGTGGAAGTGCCATACAATGCACATTTCACATGAATATACAGTGAAGCTTTAAAGTGAATCTCAGTTATGTCAGTTTTTGTGATTAACTTTTTTGGAAAATCCTGGCATTAATTACGTAAAACTCTTTACAATTTTATTAAAAAATTCTTTTTTGTATAGAAAAGCAAACCTGATAAATTTTTTTTTGAGACATAATTCATAGCCCATAAAATTCACTCTTTTAAAGTGCACAAATCTGTGGTTTTTAGCTTATTTACAAAATTGCACATCATTATCTAATTAAAAACATTTTAATTACCTTAAAAAATCCCCATGTCCATTAGTCACCACCCATTCTCCTCTTCATCCAGGCCTGACAACCACTGATCTACTTTTCGTCTCTAAAAGTTTGCTTACTCTGAACATTTAATACAAATGCAATCATATATGTGGCCTTCTGATGTTTTCAAGGTTCACTCATGCTGTAGCATGAATCAACGTTTCATTCCTTTTTATGACTGAATAATATTCAATTGTATAACTATATCACATTTTGCTTATCCATCATCAGTTGATGGACGTTTGGGTTGTTTCTGATTTTGGGCTATGATGAATAATGCTACCATAAACATTTATGTACAAGTTTTTGTGTAAACATAAATTCATTTCTCTCGGTTATATACCTAGAAACAGAATTGCTATGTCATATGTCACTCTATTTTTAACTTTCTGAGAAACTGTCAAACTTTTTTTTTTTTTTTTTTTTTTGAGACAGAGTTTTGCTCTTGTTGCCCAGGCTGGAGTATAATGGTGCAATCTCAGCTCACCACAAAGTCCATCTCCTAGGTTTAAGCGATTCTCCTGCCTCAGCCTCCCGAATAGCTGGGATTACAGGCATGTGCCACCACGCCTGGCTAACTTTTGTATTATTATTATTTTTTTTTGTAGAGACAGGGTTTCTTCATGTTGGTCAGGCTGGTCTTGAACTCCTGACCTCAGGTGATCGACCTGCCTCGGCCTCCCAAAGTTCTGGGATTACAGGTGTGAGCCACCACGCCCGGCCAAAACTGCCAAACATGTTTCCAACATGGTTGCACCATTTTACATTCCCATCAGCAATAATGAGGGTGCCAATCTCTCCACATTCTTAACAACATTTACCATTGTCTGCCACACATTGATTATGCATCCTAGTGTGTGTGAAGTGGTAAAAAAATACCTTTTACTAAAAACAATTTATTAATTTGAGACAAGTGTTTTATAAACATAAATGCATTAAATGTGTGAAATCAATCCTTTGTGAGACTAGGACACATGTAGACCCCATTATAAAATAAATTCTATTCCTTGACATGTACAGGTAAAAAAAAAAGCTAAAAAAAATTCTGGGTAATTTAGAATGATATTAATCTTTAAGATGATTTATTTTAAAAAGATTAAACTGCAAATTTTGCCTTTTATGAATTCAGGACGTTGTTGCTTCGGATATCAATGCCAACTACAAATAGGTAATTAAAGACTTAGTTTTTAGCATCACATGTTTTTATTCATTACATGGTACCTGAAAATTATTTTTTCTTTATATTGAAAAGTTAAACAGTAAACAATATTTAGAGGGTACAGAAAATTTAATAGAAGTTAAACAATAATAAACCATTTGGTGATAATGAGAATTACCTCATAGAAATCTGAATATAGTAAGTTTCATAAATTGAAGCTTCATAAAAATAATTCTAAAGGACTAGTCTATTCCCATGTTGTTTACATAATTGAAAGAATCTGCCTCAAATTAGTACGACTGTGTAATTATTTTAATTTGTTAAACTGAACTCTGAAAAAGTTGAACAAATATAGCTACAAAAGTACCTCCAGCAGTGAGGAACTAATGATGCCCAGAAGCTAGTTTCGGGTAACTCCCACTTAACTTGTTTTGCTAATATAACCCGGCACATTTTACTTTGTTGACTCAGACTTCTCATCTCATACTCTCAATCTGAACATCTTAATTGAGGTAAGTCAGTATTATTCATACATTAACAATTTCATGTTTGATATTCTAATTTATTAGCACAGTAACCTTAAGAGGTCAAATTTTCCACACACAATCTCCACCTATCCTCACAACCATCTCATCCCCAGGCCCAAAATTTGGCTCCATTTGTCTTTATGCTGCATTTGTAACTGGGTTTTTAGTTTTCATAAGAGCCATCAATATATCACATACTACTTTAAAAATAACAGAAAGGACTAGAACTAACAGTTTTCTTTAAAGGAATAGACACTGCAACAGCAATTCTGGGGTTAGAAGTACAGGGAGAAAAAAAAAAGTTAAAAGGTGAAAATTAGCTATTATACAGGGAGCTACAAAGAAAGTAACCCATAAGAAGTGCTCTCAGGCTAGGATGAATTAAACTCCCAATAGCAGGACATGTTCTGTGATGCTGAGAAGTAACCATAGGAGAGACATCAATGTTACACTCCTGTCTCAGGGTTAGAAAAACTTATTTGGTAATAAAAGCACTGGATAAAACATCAGATAACAGGTTTTCATAACAAAATTTATATTGGCAGTCTTTACATATAGACTACAAGGGAAGTTTTACTTGTTACACTCTGTTATATTAAGCCATACATGAATACGGTTTATTCCCAACTCTTATTAACAAGGCCATCATTCAGTAATAGTAATAAGGTGAAAAACCTGTATTTAACCCATTTAACCACTTATTTAATTTCATTTCTTTATTTTGATGAGAAACAACTGATCTTTGAATTCTGTCCATAAAATGTTCATGGCTTGTACTACATTAAAAACGTTGAACCCAGCTATCAAATCTCATTTGGTAAACAGGCATTCTAAGGCAGAATACCTAAAAAGTATTAAAACTCAGTGGTGAGGTTCAGGTAATCAATCACCAGGGCCAGAATATGGTACTTGCTTTAAGAAATTTAACTGGTCTAGGTTGAAAGTAAGACAGTGAAACAGTCGAGGAAAAGCATTTACCTCGACTGTTTCAAAAGTGGCGGGACAACTGTATGCAGATAAAGAGATCAGGGGAAGTAAGGCCATGCCCCAAGGTAGACTGGCAAAAGAAGTTAAAGCAAAGTCAGAAGGTCCCCAGTACTGGTAAAGGTTCAGGGAAGGATTTTTAGTGTTAAGTCATTAGGTAAATTAAAAACAAAGTACTAAAAGATACTTTCAACTTCTTGTTAAAATATGAAGAGATGGATCAGTAGAGAGAATATCGTGGCTTGAAAGAATACACAGAAGTAGGTAGAGTCACAGGTAGACCACTGAGTACTTTGTATGAGCAGGAAAATTTAATTGTAAATTTCTCAAGCAAGTGAGGCAGAAGTTGATAAACTTTCTACACTTGAAAGGAGTTCTGTGAAACAAAGATGGGCCTGAATCTCCAGATAGGAAGTCTTTGGTAGATTCAGCTGTAAGAAATTGGAGTTGATAAGGACAGAAGCTGACACTTCTAGTCAACTGAGAATTCAATCTTGCTCACAAAGATAAGCTGTTTATATCTTCATAAATTTCCTTCTTCTCTGCACAGGTAAAAATTTTCAAATTTATTTTCAATTCTAGAAATAATT